CTCCCATAGCTGCTGCCAGGCCTCTAATCTGCCATGGGCCCCTGTACCGCCTCCTCATGCTGCTGCCAGGTCCACAGTGTCTCATGCCATGTGCCACTTTCAGGTCTCCTCACACTGCTGGTGTGTTCAATTTTTTGACATAGGGTGCTGGCAGATTACGGGCCTCCTATAGCTGCTGCCAGGCCCCTAATCTGCCATGGGCCCCTATACCGCCTCCTCATGCTGCTGCCAGGTCCAGAGTCTCTCATGGGTCCCTGTACGGCCTCCCATTGCTGCTGTCTCCATCGCCACACTCTGCCATGTGCCACTTTCAGGTCTCCTCCCACACTGCTGGTGTGTTGAATTTTTTGACATAGGGTGCTGGCAGATTACGGGCCTCCCATTGCTGCTGCCAGGCCCGTAATCTGCCATGGGCCCCCGTACCGACTCCTCATGCTGTGACGTTGCAACAAGGTGGAATTCAACCCTAACATATGTTAGACCGCCTTTACGAACAGCAAAAGGCCATCACAGATTTCCTGATGTTAAAAGCGGATAAAGGTACTCCCTGTGTAACTTAGATGTCAGCCATTGGCAGCTCATGCGTGACACCTGCGCTTGCTCAGGCCCTTTGAGGAGGCCACGCTATTCGTGAGTCGGCAGGACTATGGGATGAACGACGTCATTCCTCTGTTGCATGTCCTGGAACAAATGCTGTTAACAATGGCTGGTCAGGGTGCGGTAGACATGGCGCACAGATCTCAACGCCACATGACCCCTGTGGGGGCAGGACAGGAAGAAGAGGAGGAGGTAGAGGAGGACATTGGTGCTCAGGAATTATTGAGTGAAATGGGTGGTTTTTCCACTCAGCGGACAGGAGTGGAGGAGCAGGAGCATCTGGTAGAGGAGGAGGAAGAGGAGACAGAGGACCCAGACGCACCGTGGCAGTATGCTGTGGAGATGGAGGCAGGGAGTCCCTCGCATTCCTTGGCACAAATGGCCCATAGCATGCTCGCTTGCTTGCGTACCGACAGCCGAATAATAACCATCAGACAGAGGGATGACTTTTGGCTGTCCACCTTGTTGGACCCTCGCTACCGTTCAAAAAAATGGTGGCCTTTTTCACACCTGCTGAGAGAGAGGCCAAAATAACGCACTATAAAAAACCACCTATGTAGTCAGCTGGTCTCTGCCTGTCTGCGCCAACGTCCATCCTCAGACACTGTGGGCCCTGTGCGCTCGCGTTCCGCTGCCATGGCAGCAGGGGAGGGGTGGGGTGGTAGGAGCAGTGGCAGCTCCACCAGCAGCGGCTGCCTCAGTCTGCAGTCGATGATGAGTAGCTTTCTTCACCAGCGCAGTGAGGAAACTACTAACCAGCCGCAGCATCAGCAGCATCAGGTGGACCTGGAGCAGGACCTCAAACAACAGGCTTAGGCCTACTTGGACAGCACCCTGCCAACCGAGGTAGACAATCCCCTTGACTACTTGGCAACGAAACTTGACCTTTGGCCCCCAACTAGCTGAATTTGCCCTTGAAAGGCTGTCATGCCCGGCCAGTAGCGTGGCATCGGAGCGCGTGTTTAGTGCGGCAGGAGGTATTGCAACTCCGCGGAGGACACGACTGTCCACCCAAAGTGTGGAGAGACTCACGTTTGTGAAAATGAATCAGGCGTGGATTAGTCTGGATTTCAAACCACCAGTTCCTGACACAACTGACTAAATCCGCCATGAATCATGCCCCAAACATGTGCCACTTTCAGGTCTCCTCACACTGCTGGTGTGTGTTCCATTTTTTGTCATAGGGTGCTGGCAGATTACGGGCCTCCCATAGCTGCTGCCAGGCCCCTAATCTGCCATGGGCCCCTATACCGCCTCCTCATGCTGCTGCCAAGTCCAGAGTCTCTCATGGGTCCCTGTACGGCCTCCCATTGCTGCTGTCTCCATCGCCACATTCTGCCATGTGCCACTTTCAGGTCTCCTCACACTGCTGGTGTGTTCCATTTTTTGTCATAGGGTCCTGGCAGATTACGGGCCTCCTATAGCTGCTGCCAGGCCCCTAATCTGCCATGGGCCCCTATACCGCCTCCTCATGCTGCTGCCAGGTCCAGAGTCTCTCATGGGTCCCTGTACGGCCTCCCATTGCTGCTGTCTCCATCGCCACACTCTGCCATGTGCCACTTTCAGGTCTCCTCACACTGCTGGTGTGTTCAATTTTTTGTCATAGGGTGCTGGCAGATTACGGCCTCCTATAGCTGCTGCCAGGCCCCCTAATCTGCCATGGGCCCCTATACCCGCCTCCTCATGCTGCTGCCAGGTCCAGAGTCTCTCATGGGTCCCTGTACGGCCTCCCATTGCTGCTGTCTCCATCGCCACACTCTGCCATGTGCCACTTTCAGGTCTCCTCACACACTGCTGGTGTGTTCAATTTTTTGTCATAGAGTGCTGGCAGATTACGGGCCTCCTATAGCTGCTGCCAGGCCCCTAATCTGCCATGGGCCCCTTATACCGCCTCCTCATGCTGCTGCCAGGTCCAGAGTCTCTCATGGGTCCCTGTACGGCCTCCCATTGCTGCTGTCTCCATCGCCACACTCTGCCATGTGCCACTTTCAGGTCTCCTCACACTGCTGGTGTGTTCCATTTTTTGTCATAGGGTGCTGGCAGATTACGGGCCTCCCATAGCTGCTGCCAGGCCCCTAATCTGCCATGGGCCCCTATATATACCGCCTCCTCATGCTGCTGCCAGGTCCAGAGTCTCTCATGGGTCCCTGTACGGCCTCCCATTGCTGCTGTCTCCATCGCCACACTCTGCCATGTGCCACTTTCAGGTCTCCTCACACTGCTGGTGTGTTCAATTTTTTGTCATAGGGTGCTGGCAGATTACGGCCTCCTATAGCTGCTGCCAGGCCCCTAATCTGCCATGGGCCCCTATAACCGCCTCCTCATGCTGCTGCCAGGTCCAGAGTCTCTCATGGGTCCCTGTACGGCCTCCCATTGCTGCTGTCTCCATCGCCACACTCTGCCATGTGCCACTTTCAGGTCTCCTCACACACTGCTGGTGTGTTCAATTTTTTGTCATAGAGTTCTGGCAGATTACGGGCCTCCTATAGCTGCTGCCAGGCCCCTAATCTGCCATGGGCCCCTATACCGCCTCCTCATGCTGCTGCCAGGTCCACAGTCTCTCATGGGTCCCTGTACGGCCTCCCATTGCTGCTGTCTCCATCGTCACACTCTGCCATGTGCCACTTTCAGGTCTCCTCACACACTGCTGGTGTGTTGAATTTTTTGACATAGGGTGCTGGCAGATTACGGGCCTCCCATAGCTGCTGCCAGGCCCCTAATCTGCCATGGGCCCCTATATACCGCCTCCTCATGCTGCTGCCAGGTCCAGAGTCTCTCATGGGTCCCTGTACGGCCTCCCATTGCTGCTGTCTCCATCGCCACACTCTGCCATGTGCCACTTTCAGGTCTCCTCACACTCCTGCTGGTTTCCATTTTGTCATAGGTTGCTGGCAGATTACAGGCCTCCCATAGGTGCTGCCAGGCCCCAAATCTGCCATGGGCCCCCGTACCGCCTCGTCACGCTGCTGCTGGGTCCACAGTGTGACATGGGTCCCTGTACCGCCTCCCATTGCTCCCACTCTGCCATGTGCCACTTTGAGGTCTCCTCACACTCCTGCTGGTTTCCATTTTGTCATAGGTTGCTGTATGGCCTCCCATTGCTGCTGCCTCCACCGCCACACTGTGGCTCCAAACACTGGTTTTGGCCCCGTGACTGGCCAAATGAGTGAAGTGTGCGGTGATTCTAAGATCGACGGCACTCATCTGCATGTCATACTGACTGACAGTATTATTTCTCTTCCCCAGCAGACTCCAAGGGCATTTAAATTAAAGGTTCAGTGTTCTGCACTAATATTAAGTCTCTCTGAAGCCTAGAAACACCCTTTTTTAAGTTAAATTCACAGCGAATATATTCGACTCGAATCGAATATTTTCCACGAATTCGCCGAATCAGTCGAATCGAATTTTTGAATACTTCGCTCATCTCTATTCATGATGATCAGTCAGGATTTATCAGCAGTCGACAAACATCTGACCAAATTCGCCAGACTTTAGCTTTGCTGTCAGCCGTACATTCTAATTGGGACAAATCTTCACAGAGGGAAATTTTATTGTTATCGTTGGATATTCATAAAGCGTTTGACAGTGTATTGTGGGACTACCTATTTCAGATGTTAGATAGGTTTGGGTTTGGCCCTTCTTTCACGACCTTGCTACAGGCCCTCTATTCTAATCCTTCGGCTCAAGTTTCCATTTGTGGTTATAAGTCAGCCTCCCTGTCGATAGGGCGTGGTACTAGACAGGGTTGTCCTCTCTCTCCACTATTATTCACTCTGGCAATGGAACCACTTGCGATCGCCATTCGCTCTGATCCCACTATTTCGGGCATCCGCTGCGGTCAGCGGGATCATAAATGCGCTCTATTTGCTGATGATGTCCTTATGTACATATCTGATCCTCGCACTTCTTTATCCGGTCTCCTTCACCTGTTTCATTGTTTCTCAGAGGCCTCCGGTCTTACTCTTAATTCCTCTAAAACAATTGCCTTAAATATTTTGTTGCCTGACCCGGAGGTTCGTTACCTTCAGGACAATTTTGATTTCCAGTGGGCCCCTCATTCTCTCCCCTATTTGGGAATTCAACTCACAAAATCCTTTTCATCCTTGTACAAGACCAATTATATTCCGCTCTTCAAGCAACTTAAATCTGATTTACTAGAATGGCAGGATCTCCCACTTTCCTGGTTTGGTAGAATCCACTCTATTAAAATGACTTTTTTTTACCGCGCCTATTGTACTACTTTAGGACGTTAACGATCATGGTTCCCAAATGGGAACTGCTACTATTACAGGCTGCAGTCTCTAGATTTATCTGGAGGGGAAAGCGTCCTAGGGTCAACAGGTCAACTCTCTTTTCCCTAAAGAAGCATGGCGGTTTGGGACTTCCTAGCTTATTTTCATGCGGCTCAGATAGCACAGTTAACTTGTACTACAGCCAGGGGTTATGTCCCCCAGTGGGTTGGCATTGAGGCCTTATCCTGCCATCCTTATGCTATTGGTGCTCTTATGTGGCTCCCCAGTCGCTTACGTCCTCCTATTTTGTGTCCTACGCTGTCCTATTCGTTGATGGTTTGGGACAGATGGCGGGCTCGCAAACCTTTCTTCTCCCCCACATACTCCATTAGCTCCAGTTTTTTATAATCCTGAGTTTATTCCTGGGGTGTCACCATCAGTATTTCAATGGTGGGTAAATAAGGGTTTGCTGCGTATTGGAGACTTCCTGGATGGACTTCGTCCTCGTTCTCTCCAGTATTTTCTGACGCAGTACCAGATGCCTCCCGGAGAATTGTTTCGCTATTATCAAATTATCTCATTTATCTCTAGCAAACTTAAATTAATCACGGAACTTTGTACACTCACGCCTTTAGAAGTCTCCTGTGGGGCAACTGGGTTGATGAGGGGTCGTTTGTCCATTGTCTATGCTTCCCTCGTCGATCCTCTCACTAAATTATCCTATATGACTCAATGGGAAAGGGACTTTAGGGCTCCTTAGATCTGGAAACTTGGCAGACTGCGGCCCATTCTCTATCAAAGATATCGATTAATACTGCTCTTATCGAATCCAGTTACAAAACGCTACTTCGTTGGTACTTGGTTCCTACGTACCTCGCTAAAATATGTCCTTCAGTATCACCTAATTGCTTCCGGCACTGCAGACAAGAGGGAACAATGTTCCATATTTGGTGGAAATGTCCGGTAGTGAATAGATTTTGGATCCGAATGTTTAATTTTATCTACTCGGTTACGGGAATTATTATTCGCAGAACACCGGAAGTGGCCTTATTTCATCTGCTACCTACTACCGTTCCCAAAAAAATCGACTAAACTAATTCATTACCTCTTACTGGCTGCACGTATTACCATAGCTAGAAGTTGGAGACAAACATTGATTCCGCTAGACGGGGTTAAACAAAAACTTAATTGGATAATGGTAAATGATAAGTTAACTAGCATTATCCATGGCATCCAAAAAGTGTCCCTTTAGGTCAAAAGCGGTTTAGATCAGCTAGGAGAACAGCGATAGTAAATCAGAACCACTTGCAGAATTGAGTGATAATGATTCGTGGGGAAATTTCGTCATCAGACACTGAAAACAATTTTGCGACTTTGCTCAGCAATGTGCTAACTTGGCGCTATATTTCACATTTCAGTGTTTTTGGTTTGATTATATTATTGAATTAAATGTATTATTATTATATTATTATTTTTTATGATTATTTATTAAATTATAATTTATGATTACGTGTTTCAAATTTTATCCTACCCGGGATGTTTACTAGACTCTTGTTCGGATAGATTTCAGTGAGTTATTCCTAAGAATTACAGGCCTACAATAAAAAAACTACATATTTCCATGCAAAAAAATGGTACCGCTTTCAGCACCAAAAATCGGAAAGAATCATACCGCCAAGGAGGTTAAAGGATAGGTTCACCTTTTTCACAAAAATAATAAATGCATTTTTTTTTGCAGGTAAAAAATGTGCATTTATTATTTTTGTCTACAGGAGCCTGGAAAGCATTGCACCAGTGGTCAGATTGCTGATGCCATGCAGGTCTCCTGCAGACCTGTCAGAATATCTGCTTGCCGTACGGGATGCATGAACAAGCAGATATACTGACAGAGCTTCAATGAACTAGCACCGCACTCCACAATGCCGTGGTAGTTCATTGAAAACTACAAGCCCAGAGCCGCTAAGGATGCCGGGACTTGTAGGCACTCATTCACAGAACTCTGCGGATCCCCGCACAGCCGCACTGTTTTCAAATCTGACAGACATTAAGGGGAAACTCCCCGTACTATCTTTCAGAGGGAAGGGGGGGAAGTGGTTGCAGCTATAGGAACGTGTTCCACCCTAAAAATGGGTGGAAAATGTAACATGTTCCCAAAGG